CAAACGTCACAAAGAAGCATCGTCCTTCTGCAGTGCAGAGTAGCCTTCAAAAAGATGAGCACTGAAGAATATTTATAGTTAATGACTAATGAAGGCAAAAATGAAATGCACCAGCACCAACAAACACAGAGTGCTCACAACCATTTATAAAACATCATCCAACTAGTAGACAAACAAACAAACAAACAAACAAACAAACAAACAAACAAACAAACAAACAAACACAGAGGCTCGTCTTCAGTGTTAGATACAAAACGGTAACAACCTGACAGGTGATGCTGCTCAAAACCACTTTCATCACATCTGTGAGTTTTTTCATTCATTAAGATCGATGTGATGTGCTTACAATGCAGTTAAACAAACAAACAAACAAAAACAACCCAAATAAACAGTCAAAAGTTTGAAAAAGAGCAGAAACATATCAACGTGAAGAATTCATGTCATGAAGAGATTCACACCATCATTAACAAGCTGGACGTCAGTCACCTGCAGAAAGCTGAATAAAGACTAAAGAAAACTGAACCTGATGTCGGCCAATGCTACAAACCTCAATGCTGTCACTGTGGTGTACCCATGATTTGTCCAAGAGATCATTTTATTCTATATTTGTGGATAGAAAGCAGTATGATTACGACAGCTTACTGCATGACAGCATTGATAAACTCGGCTTTAGCTGATGAAGCAGAAACACAGATGAAGCTCATGTTTCTATTTTTCTGACAGTATTTGAGATCTGTGTTATTCTAGATGGAGCTTGTTTGTCAGACTTCACACAGTTTCATCTGAGGAGAGAGAGTATCCTCGCTCCTTCACCAGTTTCAGACTGACATATAAAATCTGTGACATATACGTTATTATTATTATTATTATTATTATTATTAGTAGTAGTATGGTAAATAAAGAAAGGTAAAACACTTGATTTGTCTTTTTCTAAAAGAATAGAAAAAAACTTGCTCGTCAAAATGATCTCATTGTTTAATATGATCCTCTTTATGTGGAAACCACCACATAATGAGTGGATTCATTAGAATATAATATTTCCTATGTTAGATATATTATCTTGTTTGCTGTATTAGATTTTGTCTGCACTCAGTGTCTGATCTATGAGCAGCAGCAGAAACACCTGCAGGTAACAGAAGCTCACATTCAGCTTCGTGTTCTCCTCCTTTTCCCTCTCTTGTTGAAGCCTGTGCTGCGTAGTTCATACTGACTGACACAAAACAAAGAAAGTCTGGTTTTCTCCGCCTCTTTGAAGTTTGAGAGAAGCTGACTAAAGACAAAGAGACTTTCTCACCTAAGAAAGTGGCGTTCAAATAAAACAACTGATTTCTCCAAAACAAACAAAGCTGGTTCTGGTTTTCTGAAATGTGAGCCTCCAAGAGAATCAGAACTCAGTACAAACAAAAGCTTTTGTTGGAGAGCTTCTGAAACTCTTAAACCTTCATGTGAGCTATTGATGTACTGGTTTATTTGTTCATATAAATATTCACATTTATAACGATCTTCAATAATATGTATGGTGTCATACAGTGTATTTCAAAGACAGTGTGTGAATGTTGTATCAGTCTACTGTAATAATCTAGTATGGTGCAGTAATCAGCAGTGAGGAAACAGGGAGCAGACTTACCATAGTGCCCACACTGTATGTGGCTGCAGGACCAATGGTGTGGTGATAGGGGTCTGCGGTTGCATAAACTCTGCCGTAACTACATAAAAGGAAGTAGGAAGAATCAGCTTTTATTAAAATGCAGTATAAATGTACAGTTGCTTAAGCAACTGCTGCAAAACAAAGACTATAAACATATTTGAAAGATGGAAGGTGAAAAATGAAAGTTTGATATTAACAATATTAGCTGGGACTCTATCCTATCTCTCATGCCCGCCACCACCTGGGACGTGCTTTGTTTGCTTGTTATTCTCCCTCATCTGTCAAATTGTTGCTCTGATGCACTTGGTTTGTTAAAATGTGACAGGAAAAGTATCTGAGCTCAAAGACACAAGCCTCAGTATAGAACGGCATGCACAACAGTCATAGACTGAAGCACTGCATGTGTGTGCTGATTAAAGTACTCAAAGAAAAATGCTAGACCTTATAAATACCCGTCTATTTACAACAGCAATAATAAGGAATGGGTTGCAGCTTTCACTTAGCTGCATTAAGGCAGTGCTGAATCGACTCGCCGGGCCAGGTGAAACCTGGAGTTCCAACTCTCACTGGTGTTATATTGTGTACCAGTCTTTTCTGATTGGGAATTCAGTCAGAAATATTGTTAGCATTCTCAGCTTCAACTGTCAAAGAGTAATTAATAATATATTATCATATCTTGGAGCCACTTATTTTAACTGAGATCTATAATCATTTTCACTAATCAATCACACTAAAGGCTGGCAGGCCATGTAATGAAAATTATGCTTCTCTCAAAACGGATGTTTTAAACAGGAGGGCAGCATTGGATTTGTTTGATCTCTAGCATGAACGGGAAGAAAGGCTACAGAAACATGTCTGTGTGGGTTCTCAGTCATCAAGGTCATCTAATCTACAGAGCTTGAACATACCAACTGGATTTCTTTCACCTCTCATCCAAGAGGCTTCTTCATTTCTAAAAACCAGGTATGTAACCCCAGGTGAAGGTTAAGTCAGGTAAGTCATCACATGAGCCAATGAAAAGAAGGTGTGGGTATATTACCATTACTGAGAGTTACAGTTGAAACCATTGTGAAACCTTGCCCCACCCAATCATGTGAACTGAGGTCTGGTTGTAGGCGCCAAGGTTTGAGTGGAGGTTGAAATGCCTGAGAAGGGATCTTTAGACTGTGTTGACACTGCACCACACGTGGCTGATAGATGGTGCTGTAGGCCACCCCTTCTGTTCAAAGATGGGCGTTCATAGCGGACATGGATCTTTTACTCCTCTTTCAAACCTTCTTGCATCCTTCATCTCTGAAAGAGTGACTTTTGACCTTTGATTTTTCTGAGCACTTCTTGATGCACTGCACAGCAAACACTGTGTGGCTTAGATGATTTTGGTGGTTTTGGTTGAGGGTGTGGCTTAGTCTGAGGTGCACTGGGATGCTCAAATTCTCCTGAGTTTCTCTGACAAAGCAGTTACACAAGGAATGATGATGTTGTTCAGTTTGTCATTTCTCCCTGGTTGGTGTTTCTTTTACATCAGGGATGCAAATCTTTAGGTGACGGCCAAGCAGAAACCAATCAGAATCAGAATCAGAATCAGAATACTTTATTAATCCTGAAGAAAATTATGGGTTACAACAGGCAGCACGCTACAGAACAGAAAAAACACCCCAGCACAAAAAGCACATGACTGTCAATACACCACAGAAACACAAGACAAGCAACAGGGGCGGGTAAAGGTGAGAGAGAGCCGGTGTAGACAAGGCATCCAGTCCTGCAGCATGTCTGCGCTGGTCCAGTCGACCGCCATCTGCCGCAGGAGGGGACAGGCATCGAAGGCGTTTGGAAAGGGAGGAGGATGAGTGTGTATCAGTGTATGTGTTCAGTTCAGCTGAGACAGTGTCCTTCACCCTGCCGGGCTAAGTAAACAGTCTTCCAGCCAACCCAGGTGGCCTTGCATGGGGGAGGAACAGTCTAAGCACAGTCGTTATCAGGGTGTTGTTGTTCAGCTCCAGCCTTGAGACCACAGCTGGCGCTGAAGTGGTAGCTGCATGAAGTGATGATGGTTTTTACTTTAGTGCGAACAACTCATGTGAATTTCAAAGCTGTTGTTCGACACTGGTCTCTCAATCTGCCGTTGGAGAGCCGCGAGCTTCTCCACGATGTTATCCAATTTTCACCCAGCGGTCTTATTCTGAGTGTTCACGGCAGCCTCGAGCTTCTCCAAGTACTTATCCGTGCTGCGTTCAATGAGCCCATTCTGAGAACTCACGCCTCGTCCCATCGTTTCAATCCCAGCGGGCAGCCTTGTGGGGGTTGGAACAGCCGATTCCGCTTTCTTTAATCTTTGATAAGCCAGGGCCAAGCCAGCTCCGATCAGCAAGAACCCTGTTATCATGGTTCCGAACAGGTAGATATCTTCAATGTCCTTGATCGACAGTCCCGCCAGGCACACGATCCTCCAGTTCGTCCACCCGTCCATCGTGTATCCGGCAGGGAAAGTCCCTCCTGGACAGTCAGGCTCCCCCGATCCCCGGCTTCTCGTTGAGAAGCTGGTGTCAATTGCATTCAGGGACCAGTTGATCAAATCCATAATTCCTCTTTTAGGTTTTAGAGAACAGACTGTGAGAGAGTGTTCCAGGGAAAAGTAAAAAATAGACTAGACTAGACAAGAACACAAGAAGCTAAGCAGGGAAGATAAGGAAAGGGAGAGGATAAAAGTGTGACCGCCTTCGCCAAGAGCCAGAAGTTGAAGGTCATAATTCTCTCTGTGAGGGAGAAGGTTTTAAGGATGGGGCTGAAGGTAACCCCCCCCCAAGATGGGTATGTTGCAGGTTAGTGTTAAAATTTCCACAACAAGGGCCTTGATCACCCCACATCTGTGTTCCAGATGTTGGTGGGAGTCAAACAACAGGTACTGGTCTGTGTGTGGGTTTCCAGTAAACTTCAATGCTGAGGTTTCCATCCTCAGTGCGCACAGCACAGTCCAGAAACAGCAAACTTTTATCCTTTGTATCTTCCTTGGTGAACTGTATGTTTCTATCCACTGAGCTAACATGTTTGGTGAAAGGTTTTGATTCAGACTAAGGTGGCATCCACATATCTGTACCAGTGGCTGCGTGTTATCCTTTGGACAAAGCCAAGAGCTTTAGTTTCCATTTCCTCCATGTAAAGGTCGGCTGTAGAAACCATCGTTTCATTTAGAATATGTGGGATTGTGACTAATGGTTGATGATAAGTTTTGATTTAGATCTGCTTTCCACAGATATAATCATTGAATTTGGAACATGCAAAGACAACAGGAAGAAGCTCTTTCTTGATCCATGGATCTCAGTCTGTGTACAAGAGGAGCAGGCGGTCGGAGCACCTGAAGGCACACAATTCAATTCAATTCAATTTTATTTATATAGCGCCAAATCACAACAAAAGTCGCCTCAAGGCGCTTCATAAAGCTCCAAGCCAGTACTGTGAGGCGTCACACGTACAGTAAGTGTGATGGGTTTCTGCACATCATAGTAGCTGAGAGTGGCTGGACTGGCTCTTTGTTAAAGCATTGAATGCATCTTGATGCTGCTTTAGCCAGCACCACTGAATGTCTTTGTGTGTTAGCTCATGAAATGGGGCTGAGAGGTCACTCTGGGAAAGAACTTTCCTAAAAAGTTGATCATCCCCAAGAAGCACCGGAGGGCTGTGACATTTTCTGGTATGAAAATTTCATTAATTGCTTTGGTCTTAGCTGGATCAGGCTTGAGGCCCTTGCTTGTGAATACATGTCCAACATAACAGACTTCCTCAAGTTGGAATTTGGACTTCAGGGCGTTCAGTCTCAGTTGGACTTCCCTCACATGCTCGAGTTCCTTTCTGAGATACTGTTCATGCTTTCATATCTCTTCCACCAATGATTATGTCGTTGACTCATTTCACTACAAAGAATTACAGCGGGTATTCCTTGCCTGCAGAGTGGGTCAAAGTGTAGCTGTGCCAGCTGTTTGAATTTCCTCACCTCCATATGCCACCAGTTTGGTTTTCTGAGTCTTCTGTTTTGTTTCAGTCGGCAGGCATAACATTACATTTGACGGCAGCTCTATTGGTTTTCCATTGATATGCACAGTGGTGAATACGTCATTCCTATGCAGAAAACAGGGATTCCCAGTGTCTATATTGACCCCATTCACAAAGAACATTTCTTCATCACTGCTGGGCGCTTGCATCTCAACGCCACCTCCACAGTTGTTGCAGTTAGTTATTGCATGTGCAGGACTCTGTTCTGATCGTGTCGCACTTATTTTGTGATGAAACTATCCACCTTTGCTGTCGTTTGGGGCTGCTGTTCGAATATTTAGCTCATTTCGATTGCTTTGCTTAAGGTTAAGTCACTGTCATGCAGTAGTTGCTTTCTCATGCTGCCATGAATATATCGTATTCTTGCTCGTACACAGGCGACTTCTTGGCAATGTTTCCATTAAACATCAATGATTCTGGTCTACAGAATCTTTCCACATGGTCATTGATGTTTAATAGCCTTTGCTACGATAGCTGAACAACGTTAGCTGCTTGCTTGCTATGTCTTTAAAGGGCTGAGAAAACGTTTAGCTTACCGCTTTGTTGGCAGCTTTTTAGCACATGACCAAACCACAACTTCTGACATCATGTTTGATGTTTAGTAAAAACGCTGGGTTTATGATTGCTTATAAGCTTTTACTGTGTATGACAGTGGCGACATTACGTGCAAGGAGCTCGACTCCAGGGGTGGGAACCCGGTCCTGTGATAGACATTCCCACTGCATGCACAGTGCACTATTCACGTCGAACAGGTATGTAAACCCTCATTATTAAACAACACTAGTCACGTTCTACAGGAATCATCAAACCTGAGGAAAAACACAGGATCCTGAACTCTAAGACATTAGGAGTAATCTAATTTTCAGTTCAGTTCAGTTTTATTTATACAGTGCCAAATCACAACAACAGTTCCTGAGACACACTTTATGTTGTAGGTAAAGATCCCACAATAATAAACAAATAAGCACGGTATATGAGATTTCAGAAAGTCTTGAAAATTGTGAGCCAAAAGCCAGTCCAAGTCCAGACCTTGGACCATTTGGTGTTGTCTCTGGCAGGACCTTAAGAGATCTGTGCTTGCAAGCAATGTTGTAAAAGAGAGATAAAGGCATCCAGAAAACCATAACCATAGAAGAAGAAACATGGTCTATGCTTAGTTTTTCACAGGGCTCCATAGAATTGACCCACTGGTGTCAAGCCAACCATCTCACACTCAACATCGCAAAGACAAAGGAGTTGATAGTGGACTTCCGGAGGTGCAGAGAAGTACACACCCCCATCACCATCAACGGCGCTGCTGTGGAGAGAGTGAGAAGCTTCCGGTTCCTTGGGGTACATCTGGCTGAGGATCTTACGTGGTCAGTACACATGAACAAAACAGTGAAGAAGGAGCAACAGCGCCTCTTCTTTCTCAGGAGACTGAAAAGATTTGGCATGAACCCCCGCATCCTCAGGACCTTCTATCACTGTGCCATTGAGAGCATCCTCACTGGATGCATCACCACCTGGTATGGCAACAGCACCGTCTACAACCGCAAAGCTCTCCAGCGAGTAGTGCGGTGCTCTGAACGGATAATTGGAGGTGAGCTTCCCTCCCTCCAAGACATCTACAGGAAGCGCTGCCTGAGGAAAGCGGGGAGGATCATCAAGGACTCCAGTCACCCCAGCCATAAACTGTTCAGACTGCTTCCATCAGGAAGGAGGTTCTGCAGCATCCGGTCCCGTACCAGCAGACTGAGAGACAGCTTCTTCCACCAGGCCATCAGACTGCTGAACACGTCATAGACACCTCACCTTCACTACTGGAACTTCAACATTTTGCACTCTATACTGTACAGTAATGCCACTGTTTTGCACATGTCTCAACTCTGTATATTTTTATATATTTTATTTATTGTTTACTCTATTTAATTTGTAAAATATGTGTATACACACACACACGTAGAAAAACATTTAGTATACACATCCTGAAAAATTTTTTTTTTTGCATATACTATTATATATTGTACATATATTTATTAGTTTCAGATTTAGCCATTCGTATATTTGCCTGTTTATGTTATTGTATTTTGCACAACTCTGTTGCTTGTGAAGCTCGCACACAAGAATTTCACTCACATGTACTGTACCAATGTACCTGCACATGTGATGTGACAATAAAAGTGATTTGATTTGATTTGATTTGAATTGTATGAAAATGTTCTTTTTCATATGAGCATACAGATGATGGTATGAAAGCATACCAGATAAAGTAAGAAACAGGATAAGATGATGCGACCAGTTTTGTTCTGTGAGAACGTTTTTTCAAGAAGGCTTCAGACATGGAAGAGAAAATATCGTACCTGTCACTATAAGCAGCTGCAGCAGTACCAGCTGGCTGTGCATATCTGTAGGTTGCATATCCTCCCTGAAGAGAAACAGAACAATTTCAAACTGCTCTCATTACAGATTAGAAGAGATTATCTTCAAAATTCAACATCAAATCCAGACTACTGTCTTGGCCAGTTGGTCATTATTAGAAGAAATGCTTAAAAATCAATCTTGCAACTACACAGAAATGAAATATAAATGCATATCATTGGGCTTTGACTTACATATATTTCTGCCCCATAAAATCCATCCTGGTAGACCACACTGTTGACATAGAATATCAAATATTAAGCATATATTTAACATTGAAATATACAGAACTGACAGGGTGACGGATTTTCATACTGAAAAATGTCCTAACTAAATGACATCATAGATGATCTGACAACATCTGGTAAACTGACATTAAAGGTAATTAGATTTCCTGATATTCTCCTCGAGCAAACAATACCTGCAAGGACTTCATTAGGATGACCGTACAGGACACGGCCGCCTGTTGGGCTCTGAACAGCCTCATTTTAGTGGCATGGGCTTACAAAGAGCCTTCTTTTGAGATTCCACTTTCTGATTGCTTCACATAACTTGTGCAGATATTCATCCTCTGAAAATCACATTACAATACATCCCAAAGTTGATTACTGGATTCAAATAGGATGGAAGCCAATGAAGTCCATTGAACTTGTCAAATATGCATTGTTGTGATTAAACTTTGATGAAGAGATGTATGCACATCATCAACAACAATCACAGGGTTTGGATTAACTGAAGGCTGAAGTAATAAATGCATGAACTAGTTTTTCAGCGTCACTCAGAGGCAGGATATTTCTAAGTTAAGAGATGTTGCACAAATGGAAGAAAGCAGTCTTACATAAAGACCATCCTGGTCTTTATGTCTTTAAGACATTGTGCAGTGCAGCACAAGCAACACATCCTGGCCCCACAGATGTAGAAAGGGCACACAGAGAGAAGGGCCCAGAACGCAGCACAAACCAGGCACCTTGGCCCACCCCCTAAGGCGCAAGAGGACCAGCCGCAAAAGGTGCCAACCTGAAGGCAGGGAGGACACCCCAGGACCGCAGCAGCCAGCACGATGCATGGAAAAGAGAAAAGAAGGAAAAGAGAAGGAGCCAGAGAGCCAACTTGGAAAGAACTGGCAGGATCTCTCTAGATCAACACATGAAGAAGAGTCCCCTTATCTCAACGTAGCAAACAACATAGGTCCCACCCACACATAGCATACCACCCCCCACAGAAATGCCAAGGATAGCAAACCGGGCCACACACAGCAAACCTTCTGGCCACCATGGACACCATGTGTCATCCTGAAGGAGTGGATTACCTGTAGAACCTCTACATGGTCCAGGTATCGCCTTATGCTCCCAGTATCGACACTGACGGAGCCAAATACAAACTAGTAAAAAACAGAAACGATGAGAAAGGAACAAATATCGAGGGCCTGCACCTGTAAAACCACTCCTGTTTGGGGATTAACAACCCACACTGGCAGAACTGACTCTGATTAAAACTACAATTTTTGGAGCAGAGCATATACCACACAGGTTAAATTATTTATTCAGTGGATATGACCAGCCTGCACCATTCCTCTCCTGCTGCCTTCTTGACCTTTATTTCTTCTTATGACTCCTTTATTTTACACTATTAATTTATTATTTTTCTTCTTCAGTGCCTTCATGTCCTGAAACACACACAAAAACAGTCTAGCAATTTCCTGCTCTATTAAAGGTGTTTTTGTTTTCCACTCCCTGTTATCACATCAGTGTCTTTGTATGTTAGCAAAAACTCACGTTCCATAGGTGGGGATAGGTGGAGGTGGAGGTGCAGCACGGAACGTGTTGTAGATGGCGCGGCCCCTGCCTCTCAAATGAGCCCCTCTATAGGCAACAGCTGCTCCTGCACTGGGGTATGGAAAACCTGCCACTGACAAAGATACATAAAATCATAGACTCAGTCGGCTTCACTGAACACACAACCACTTTATTACATCCTGGATCTTGATCTGAAATATGGCATACAATTTGAACATCTTACAGTATTCCCTGAAAACCTTTTGTCGGATCAATAACATTTAAATTTAGCATAAAGGGGTACACAGTGAGGAATAAATGTCATTACTGAAGATGTCTTTTGGAAAAGTGCTGTAACGGATTTTAAGGGTGTAATTCCTCTGCTGTTAACTTCTTCAAGGCCACGTGCCAACACAGTACAGAGCAGCTACTAATCTACTTCCAGAAAGGTTGAATATCTCTATAATAGTTTTGCTTTCTCACTGTGTACGGCCCTGGACTTTGGCTCCTCTGCAGAAGAAAGCAAGAAATCAGAAATGCTTGTGTCCCCGGTAAAACTCACAGACACAGAACTTAAAGAGGAAATTGAATCTCACTAATTTAAAAGATGTTTATTTAGCCTAGAGAAAGAGTTTGCTGTTCTATAAAAAGCTTTTCATAAAGCTAACACATCTTACTATTCAGCCTTAACTGGAGAAAATAAGAACAAAGACTTAGAGGTCGGTTTAACCAAGTATTCCTTTAACCTTAAGTAGTAAAGACTTTCTGAACTACTTAAAAAATGAAGTTTTAACCATTAAAGAAAACTTTATTTATAAGAATCTCAAAGATGTATCATTACATAAAGCTAGTTTTAGTACTTTTGACATTTACTTTGACCCTCTCTGTGTCCATCAGACCTTATTTCTCAGACACTGTTCCGAGAAGTCCTACGATTTGTTAATGCTTTACTCTATATCTGCTAGTGGACTATGCACAACAAGCCAACCTTCCTTTTAGCTGGAAAATTCTCTGGTTAGAGTAGATGTAAAACAGCTGGCTGATCATCTGCAGATGTGTGTTTGTGAGGAGCGCTCACACTGCAAGGAGAAAAGGAGAAATGTAACATTTTCTACAGCTGCTTCACTACCACTTTATTTATTTAACTCTTTTTTTCCAATTGATCTTTCTGAGTTAACTTCACCAATTACTTCCTCCAAACCATCAATGTGACTTTTAGACCCCATTCCTATGAAGACATCTGCTTCAATCTTAAACATTCAGTCCCTATTAATTGCCTACATACCACAGGCCTTTAAGGTGGCAGAAGATAAAGCGTTACTTAAAACTAAGGTTATTGTACTCGGCTCTAAAAATACTAGAAATGCAGTTTTTAACCAGACTCTTCCTCTGGATGGCATTACCTTGGTCTCCAGTAACACTGTGAGGAACCTTGGAGTCATTTTTGACCAGGACATGTCCTTCAACGCACATATTAAACAAATATGTAAGACTGCTTTCTTCCATGTGCTCAACATCTCTAAAGTCAGAAATATCCTGTCTCAGAGTGAGGCTAGTTCATGCATTTATTACTTCCAGGCTGGACGACTGTAATTCATTATTATCAGGATGTCCTAAAAACTCCCTGAAAAGCCTTGAGTTAATCCAAAATGCTGCAGCAAGAGTCCTGACAGGGAGTAGAAAGAGAGAGCATATTTCTCCTGTTTTGGCTTCCTGTTAAATCCAGAATTCAAAATCCTGCTCCTCACATACAAGGTCTTAAATAATCAGGCCCCATCTTATCTTAATGACCTTGTAGTACCATATCACCCTATTAGAGCACTTCGCTCTCACTCTGCAGGCCTACTTGTTGTTCCTAGAGTATTTAAAAGTAGAATGGGAGGCAGAGCCTTCAGTTTTCAGGCCCCTCTTCTGTGGAACCAGCTTCCAGTTTGGATTCAGGAGACAGACACTATCTCTACTTTCAAGATTAGGCTTCAAACGTTCCTTTTTGCTAAAGCATATAGTTAGGGCTGGACCAGGTGACCCTGAATCCTCCCTTAGTTATGCTGCAATAGACGTAGGCTGCCGGGGATTCCCATAAAGCATTGAGTTTTTCCTTTCCAGTCACCTTTCTCACTCACTATGTGTTAACAGATCTCTCTGCATTGAATCATATCTGTTATTAACCTCTGTCTCTCTTCCACAGCATGTCTTTATCCTGTCTTCCTTCTCCCACCCCAACAGGTTGCAGCAGATGATGCAAGATGTGAGTGGAGGTTGAAGGGCTTTTAAAAACTGCATTTTAGGTGGTATATTTGATGTCGTAAGCCCCGCCTCAGTACAAAGATGGTCGTTCACAGTGTATAGAGATGCTTCTTTCACTCCATTTTCAAACCACCTTTAGATGCAGATGTACAGCCAAGTCTTGTCCTGATGAGGTGGCTCTTCGATGTTGTGCCATGTGTTTATGGAGTGGCTGTTTGGTTTCTCCAATGTGGAGGTGTAAGCACTCGTCAGTGCACTGCACCACATGCACTTTGTTGCTAAGTTTGTGTTTGAGAGTTTTGTCTTTTTATCTGAGGGTGTAGCTAGGTCTGAAGTGCACTGAGATGTTGTGCTTGGAGAAGACTCTCCTGATGCTTTTCTTTCCAAGATCCTTAGATTACAAATGTGAAGGAGTTCAAGATTGAAAGGATGTCTGTTTTGGGGATTCTCTTTTACAAAGTGCTAAAATATGTGTTAGGAAAGGGAAAGGGCCGAGGAAGTGACAATTCTGTAAGCCAGTGGATCTTTGTGTTTCCCACTTTCCCTTCAATATTAGTTCCCCTTTTGCCTTTTGTTTTATTTTTAATGTATTACAAAAACATCTGCAGAATCCATCAACTAAAGCACAAAGTGATTGTTTTTTTTATAAAAAGGTAAAGGATTGGACATGTGGGACAAATGTTATTAAAATTAATAAATAAAAGAAGCAGTGTGTGTAGTCCAGCAGACTTAAGCACACACAGGCCCTTCAGCATACTCCATCATTTATCTGTGAGACCACAAGATGTCAGTGCAAACACATGGGATGCATTTATGGCTGCCACTATGACAACCCTTCATACAGTGCTAGTCCATGATATATCTAACTGAAATAAGCATAAATAGATACATAAAGTTGGAGAGTCTTGTCTAACCTTTTGGGCCAAAGGTGGAACAATTCACGGCTGAGACAAGAGTACTTAGAGTTTCACTCTCTAAACTGAATTTATATGGAGAGCCATAAACTTTTTCTCAAAGTAATCTGGTAATTTACTGTACATAACATTAATGCAATTATCTTAACTTAGTCACAAATGTTACCCAACAGGTAGACAAATATAGTCTTGAACCAGGTAAGGTGGTGTGCAGTAAAGCTGAATTCAAACCTCGTGGTGTGCATCCGTAGGAGGGACCGCTTTGCTTTTAAACGGGGTTAATGCTTTCTGTAATTCTTCTGTGTTCTGTGGTTTCATTTCTTCTAGGCATTCATGTAGTATCCCTCACACACATATGAACTCAAGTGAGATCCCATTCATAAGCCACAGGGTTTGCTATGATGTGGACCACCCTCTGGAGCTATGACAGCTTCAACTCTTCTATGAAAAGAGTCGAGACTGTGTTTATGGGAATTTCTAATCATTTTTCCAGAAGCGCATTTCTGAGGTCAGACAGTGACGGTGGAGAAGACGGCCTGGCAACCTTCATGCCAAAGGTCTATTAGGTTGTCCGGGTCAGTCAAGTTCTTCCATACTAAACTTGATCATCCATGTCTCTATGGATGTTTTGTGTGCAGTCATGTTGGAAAAGGCCTAACACAACCTTATAAAAACAGTACCTTTGCATCATGACTGAAACTGGCACCACTGACTAACAAAGGGCCGTGAGGTCGGTTTCAGTTAGTCTTCAAGAAACTGAAGTACAGCTCCTATTAGAAACTGGCCTGCTTTTAGATTTGGTGTCAGAGCTCTCTGGGAGCAGTTTTTGAAAAGCTTCTCTTTTAACCACTTCTCTTCGGCTGCAGTAACATCCTCCAGCTTATCTGAGAGACACCGAAAACCTTGCTGTTAGGCTCAGTTCTCTCTTCACCATGACAGACTGGTGCTCTGTGTCCACTGACCTAATTTTATCAATTTAAACGTTCTGTCATTGCTGGATGTCGTCACTAAGAGTGTTTGCATCTATGTTACTGTCCCAGAGACACAGTCAGTGTCTCTGGGACATCATATTTAGCATTTCCATTATTTCAGCCTCTTCTTTGGACTGCAGACTATTATTTAATTCTCTAGTTAGACTTTCTCCTTATTTCTTGTCTTAAAGGTGCAACATAGTCAACACTCTCTGTGCTTCACCTGTAGGAAAACATGTTTCCTTATATAGAGAAAAGGGTGGTGTAATATGCAGATTATATGGAGCTTCAAAACGATTGTTGGCTGTGAATTATCTTGACTTACTAACATACACAGGGTATACAAACACGACTGGTACATATGTTTGTCTGCTCTTCTGTATGCCAAAGTATTATAGAGCAGTGATGTCAAAGTCATTTACATTGTGGGCCACATACAGCCCACTTTAGTGTAAAGATTTAATTCAGTTTAAGGAAAATATGCTGCTGTAGTAAATGCAGGAAATCTGTCAACACAAATAAATAAATATAAAATTACAGAAAACGTTCTGGTAGTTCACTCCCCATTAAAAGTCCTTCCCCCCCTATAACTGTAAAACAAACTAGAAGCTTCTGTGGCAGATAGGAATGTTTCCATTTTTACACTATGTTAGACCATTGCTGTTGTTTAGTTTTTATTTAATGATGTGATATGTAATACATGCAATGGTGGAGGTCTTTATCAACAGGAAATGTTGTAAAATTCACTTAAAATGTCTCTGCCGGGCCGATTCTGGGCCCCAGGCCTTGTGTTTGACACACCTGTTCTAGTCAAATGTGCGGACACCTGTCTGCAGCCCTTTATTTTAAGCCTATATAGTAAATAAATGTGTGAGTTGTAAAAGCATCCTCCTGGTCTCAGGCGTTGCTTCATAATGTTGGTCCATGTTTATTATTAAATGCTTTCTGTTTAGCTTCAGTGTTGCCCTTAAGCTTTATAATTATTACTAGTTTGAATTTCC